GGCTATACATACATACACGTATATTTCTTATGTACGTTTGAGCGTGTGTACCTACCTACTTTACGTAAGTGGTTTTGTTTTCGAAACTGCATTTCCAGTGTGTACGATTGTGTTATGTGATGTGCACGCCGCGTTGTTGTCGTCGACCGCAAACAGAGGATATAGTTATACGTACGGAGATGCGAGAATCTGCGGCAACGTGTGAAGGTGGGTTACATATTGTTAAAATTCTGTTTTGCGTCTTTGATATGCTAACGTTGTGCTCCTGTAGCTGTTTTTTTGCTTCTCTTGTTGGTCTACTTCATAATCGTTTATATAGTTGGTGCACCCGAGCACTGGGGGTACTTTCGGATTTGACGAGTTATTTGTTAACAACAATTGTAAGATTGTTGGGTTATTTGAATAACTTATACCTCGGTGATGTATTTGCCTTGATATTTCATGCGATCGCTCATTGGGATGGGAAATGGCCATTCTAGGGTTGTCATGGGATTCCCCGAGTTCGTCAAAGTACGTAAATGTGGGTACAAGAGTCGTTGCTTCTGTGTGAAATCATCAAAAATTGAAACAACTTTTTTTTACATATTTATAATACATATGAAAGTTGTAACAATTTAACAGAAAATTTTTACATGCATTTCTTATGAATTATATACCTAATACTATATATTGTCCATAATTATTGCGTTTTACGAAAATTCATCCACACATTGCGAAAAATATTCTAAAAGTGGTCACTGTCCTTTATTATCATTAAAGCAGGTAAAAACGAGTATTACAGCACGAATTTCCAAAATTAATTATTTGTTCGGAACTTAAACATATAAAAATTAAATCAGTCAACAAGTCCGAAAGAAGACAGTCGAGCCTCTGTCGACATATTTATACAAGCGTGCCAAAAAGCGAAAACAACAAAAAGTACCGTGTGGGGATACGCGTATTAAAATTTAATTGCGCGATATGTACTCGCGAGCTCGGATGCATAATGAACGCAAACGTCAGCTTCGTACACCACATTGGCTGGTCATGTATTGGGTTGTATAACTTGCTCAGAGAGGAAATATCGCTATGATGAATCTTTAATGTATACTCAATCCTCGTGAGCTAGGATTAACACTTGCAACCGACAGGTCGAACCGTAACATGAATTTTGTTATCGACAAACACTGCCAAACTAACAATTGATTGATCGTAAGTTGTTCATTAATACTTGCAATGAAAAAAAAAACAGTTGTTGAAAAAGTTATTGTAACGCTATACCTAAATGTCGTCCAGCGTTTTTTTACCTTACTCCGTGCAAAACAAAAAACAAAAATCACTCGTAAGTATTAGGATTGATTTCGTTTGGTGATTATACGCCACAACGCGTCATACAACTATATACAATTACTTGCACGTGCTCTCCCTCTCACTCTCGTCGGAGACAGGTAGCGCCCATCACCCCCCGTGCGATACGTATAAAGAGGGAAGAATCAAGAGGCGCGCGAATATTAAATTAGCGTAGCCATGGCGATGCGCTGGATAAAGAAAAGGGAGCGCTGCACCGCGCGACAAAGGCCAGGTGTGTTTGGTAGACCCCACCGACGAGTGTTTTGCGCGATGACGAGTCGATGCAGGCTGCGCGAGATTAAGAAAACCACGTTTGCCATGTGGATCGAGTACGAGGGACGGGAGTATCGTCACGTGCTTTTTTCGTGGGAAAAGGGCCATTTGTAAGTGCGCAAGCTGACAGTTTTTCGTGCGAATCACGTGTACGCTACAATGGCACTTTTTAAAGTCATCTTTGAAGAAATACATCGGAAGATGATGAGGGCTCGGATCACTTGGAGCCGGACACATTAGTGCGGAGTACTCGAACTGTGAGATGTGACGACGATTGCTTTTACCATTGTTATTTCCCATGCGTCACTTGAATCGACGATATTTATATTTCCCAAGTCATATTAATATGGTTGTGTGGTTGATTCCATGATTTTTTTTTTACCTATTTTACGAAATTTTGTACGATTCCATGTGTTCAACAAATTTAAAGTTACTCCAATTTTTGACTTTTTTTTTATAGCTACCAACTATTCGATAATCTTCTTTAATTAAAAAAAAAGTAATAATCTTTGGCTCGAAATTTCATATCTTCTCACAGTTTTATAAAGCAACACCGCATTACTTTGTATCTTTTTCAGACGCTGAGCATTAGAAACTTTGAGCTTTTTATCGAAAGACTTGACAAAAGTTAATTTTCAGTTGTTCTTTGATATCAGTTTTAGTTTTTCAAATGCACATTTTTATGTACTGAGTAAGGCTGTATCCCCCAAAAGTTGAAAATGTATACCTAACGCGCACAAAAAAAGCATTGTACAATCGAAACGCAAAAAAATCTCTATCCATTGAAAAAAAAAAAAAAAAAAAAAAAACCAAATCACAGCCTAAACTGCGTTTCGACGTATCCTCAGTCCACAGCTCAGAGCCGATGATAACGAGCACCAGCGCGCTCTTACAATTGAATTTCACAAAACTCGTTTCCAATCAGTCGGGGAGAAGCCGCGGTGGCCCCTCAACAACACCCGACCCAGTTAACATCGGGTGCGCGTGCGATAATTGCGATCCATCGGTACACTCCGACCAAATTAGCAATCGGTGTATTACAGAGTATACAGATTCGTAGGAGAAAAAGACCAAAGGGCCATTCCTCTTTATTTCTCGCATAAGCTCTGGAACACGGGAAAGATCGAGCGAACGCGATGACAGTTCGCGAGTCGGCATTGGAGTGGAAGCCGCGCAAGTGAACATCAACGGTGGAGGTAAGGCGCACACGTGGGTTACAAGCATTGCAGTGGAGAGAAGCGGGTCAAGCGGGTGAAGCGACGTGGACGGCTTTTATCAGGTCTCAAACCCCCTCGACCCCCCCCCCCGATGTCTCTCATTGTTGTTATTATCATTATATGATGATTATACCTGTGTGCCTGTGACTATTGTGGTGCGAGGGAGGGGTACGGAGTGTGTCACGAAGGGATTGTTCTATGCTCGCTGTAACCGGATATCCATGATGGATAATGGATGGGAGTTGGATTATTGTTGGTGCGGCTTACAGTGGGATGATGTGGTACTTGGATTATCTTCCGTGCTGGCAATTGGCAATTCGTATTGGCAATTGGCATTCATAATGATGATAAATACAAGTGATAAACGGTGTTGCCAATTTATAAAACGGAGGATATTTGTATCGTGGAGGAGGGAAAGGTCACGTCAAGGGTTAAGTATAATCACGGTTACCAATGAAGAGGGGGAAAAAAAATATTGTGAAAGAAGAATGAATTCAAATGATGTGCCTGAAAGATAAAAAAAAAAGAGAGAGAGAGAGAGCGATACAAGAAATGAGCAAGTATTTCGATCAGTTTTCGGAGTTTTAAAAACTGTTTGGAGAAAAGCAAGTTGCAACTTGAAATAACACCAAATGTCAATAATATAAAATATAAATACTCAGTGTTTGAATGTTTCACCTGAATTGGAGTCTGTTAATATGTACAATAGTTATGCAAGAGAAATATAAAATTATTTATACATTAAAATACTTTTCCACAAATAGTTTTAATATAATTGTTTACGAGAAAAGATAATTTTAAAGTAAGGTTTTTAACGGAGCCAATGATGGGAAACATTTTTTGAAATTCATAGATACTGAAGAGTATTTAAGTATACGTTGACGCGAGAAAATTCGTGCGATATATAATAAATTGTCACCTTGAAAAGTAAGATATAAGTTTATGAGTTTAATCCTATTAAATTCAGACAAGTAGCCGTTTCCTTTTGCTATATAATACAGTATCAAATTAAACGAAACCCAAGATGCTTCTTATATGTATTATTATAATAATTTGAATGATTATTATTACTGTTACCATTTTTATTACAACCACTATTGTAATTATAACTACTAATATTATTATGACTTTTTTTCCATCAGCATTTTCATTATTATCAATTTATTTTTTTATTATTTTTTCGAGTTTTTATTGCTTATGAAAACTATATTTGTTGAAAACTATATATTTATTGAAAATGTATTTACCTCCTTTTTTAGTACAAAAATATTCTAGACCACTGGTAACATTTGCAATGTACATTTTTTATATCAAATTGGTTTGTTGTTTGATTATACATTTTTCGTATTTTTTTTTTTTTTTAGTTTTTTTCTGACAAAGTCATCAAGAAGGCGAGTAAAGTTTCTAGGTATATTCAATTTGATGTTGTGTGCTGTCAAAATATTTTCTGATTTCGTGGGAAAAAATTTTATAGATCGAATAAATTTGTTTACTGAACACATTTTCTTGCTGAAGCTCGAGTAGATGAAAAATAAAAAATATGATTTCCTCCGAACAAATATTGGGAAAAAAATAAAGCAAGAAAATTCGTCCGTGTTGAACTTATCACGCTTTTTATGATAGTTTATCAACAAAAGTATGCGGCTCTGATGTTAAAAATTCTAGCTAATTGAAACAGGAATATGAAGAAAGAAAAAAAAATTTTACCTTGAACATTTATTACATCTACTACATTCTACGTAACAATTCCCAATAACGAACGAGATTGTACTATTTTTTTTAATATTAAGCCGATCATATTTTTTTTTTTCTTCTTAAATTACTGCCACGATACACTCACTTTCAATTATAGGCTTATTATCTACATTACAGTATCAAAAATACCATTTAATGAAAAAGAAATGATAGTAATTTTTTCAAAATTGAAAGTTTAAAAGTTTAAAAGTTTAATAATTTTTTCACCATCATCTTATTTTATGTCACATTTTACTCCTTGTGCCATTTCCAACGCTTTCCCAAGTCAAATTTAATCTAAAAAAAAAAATCGAAACCAAAAATAATAAAATGAAATAAGGAGTCTATATAATGACTTTTTTCTCTATCATGAAAATTTTATTCGTTCGAAGTAATTTACGAAAATTTTTGTTTTATAGTTTACTCTTTTTTTACAGCAAGCAGTCGAGAATTTCAAAGCTTTCAAAAAATGTTTCCTCTGCGCGACTCATCGAGCACTTGGTCATCGAGGACCGACGATGAATCTTTCGGATGGCGGATCGGCACCGAACCACATGTAATGTTTAAGTCATCAATCTCTTTTTTTTTATTCTTACAAAAACCTTTTAATGCAGATCCTCTGACTTTATTTTTCATGATTATTTTATTATTATTGTTATTTTTTATTTTTTTTTTTTTAAACAAAGAAATTTGAGAATTAATAATGATCTATGCTTACTAAATCACACTGACTGGCACGGTTAGAAGTGTCTCTAAACCAATAATTTATAATAAATTTGAGACACTGCAATTTATTTCGTATAGCATTAATGAAAAGTATACACGTTAATGCGATCAGTTCTACCTTTAAAGCAGTAATTTTACGTGAAACTTTAATCTTCTATATAATCCAATACTGCAAGACTGTAAGGAAGTAAAATAATAATGGATGAAATAGAATATTCCTTTAGTCATAAAAAAATTACGATTGAACGAGTAGTGAAATAATGAATTAATAATATTACGAAGTCCATGAAAGCAATGAAATACTAATGTAATTCTGGAATTAAAGTGTAGATACATTGTAAATAAACAAATGTTTTGAACTTTATTTGTCAAAGGGAACTTATATACTCCTTTTTAATGTTGGCAGTATTCCTGTCGTTTGTGCAAATATTTCATAACATACAACGTAAAATAGTTCTAATATTATTACTATAAACATAGTGATCATAAATTACTAAAAATAAATGACCTCATGAAATAATTATTACAAATGATTATTTTTGAACAATTTTTAAATCACCTATTCTTCTGATCCCATACGTAATAGACAATAGCTTCAGAATCATGTTTATTAAAAAAAAAAAAAAAATAGAAACATCCCTACAAAGGTCCACTAATGTTAAATTTTTTCTTGGCCCCTTTAAAAATCAACATATGCAGTACCAAATAACCGAAGATACCTCCACCGTAAATCCAGACGAACCGACGAACTCGCCGCACCAACAACCCCAATCCGTATCGTCCGTTGACTCCGGAACGTCGAGTGGTAACTTTGGCCCCGTCCAAAGCCCGGCGTCTCCCATCCAAGATAACTCCTCGGACTCGGAGGAGAAGGAAGAGGACGAGGAGACGACCGAGTACATCGAGCTCCAGCTGCTGGGAGCCAACGACGAGGAGGACGAGAAATCATTCGACTACGGGCGCAGCGCTTTTTGCTACACACCCGAGAGGCTGGTCAAGTGCGGCGAGTTCCGCGTACTGGCGCCCTCGCCCAGGTTCCGTCCGGATTTCGAAGGGCTCGAGACTGCCGAGGCGAGACTCGCTTCTGACGTTGGCGGGGAAGAGATGAACGGTGAGCTGGTCTTGGGTGACGACCGATGCAATGGCACTCGACTTTTTTTGTACGATTTTTGCAACCATGGCTATTATTGGCTTATGTGTTTCCATAAAAATGTATGGTTACGAAATAAGGGGAACGGAATTTATGCAGGAGCAACGCAGTTGGCCAGATTACTACAGAGCCCGCAGCGTTACAGTAGTGACACCTCATCTTTATTAAAGCCGTCAAGTTGCAAGCGGTGCTGCCCGGTGAGGTATGGTGACGGTGAAGTTGTACTTCACACCAAACACTGTCCCCGTGACTCGGAGAATCGAACGCCAGCTGACTTGCAGTCACAGAGTTGTTCAGGTTTGTAGTAATAAGAACAAAACAAGCTATCGTTTTCGTTGTTACCAATAAATATTTTAGATATTTTATATTTGACATTAGGGGTGCGAAGTTCAACTTCATACGCCTCTACAGATCCTAGTGCTCTAAGTACTTACTTTACAAACAGTTATACAAATAAGACTACTCTGTGTTAGAATCTTTACATTCTGAGTGTCAATGGAAACCATTTTATATTTTACTACATTTAGCACGTGAAGTTGAACTTCTTGTGACTGTTCGATTCAAGCCCTGTGAGAGAAGTGATGTTTTACACACTAACGCCTCAATTAAACATCTCGTTTTACCTGTAACATAGTACAAGCTTGAAATTTAGCGAAACTCTGTAAAGATCATTACCAAAAAAAAAAAAAAAAAACTAACTTTCACTTATGATAATAGAGAAAAACGTTAGCTCGAATAATTACACCAATTACTTCCTCCCTTCGATCGGATGCAGCAGAACACGACTACACGTCCTGTACGAAGAGACAAACGGAGGAGGACAGCCCAAAGGCAAAAGACGCGACAGGGCAGAAAATTGCTGACGACAGTAGCGGGGTGTCGTCGGTGGACGGGCTGACGGGGACGCGTGGTGGTGACGACTGGAGCTGTTGCGGTAGCGAAGTACTGGATGACAATGCAGATACACACAGCATATTGACTTCCCGACGGGTCTCCAGCGAGCTTGCCTACGTCTCGCTTGAGTTTGACGAACAGGTGGTTTGGATTTTTTTTTTTTTTTTCTTTCCTTAAGTTTTTTTCAAAAATATATTTACTTTCTTGACTTTAATGTATCGAAGAATAGTGATTCGAAATTACAATCACTGGATTGCATACGTATAAATTAGATCACTGCACAAATTCAACTTTGAAGTATTAGTACAAGCTTGTAACTATAATTAGTCACATTTATTTTCAGGGCAAAAGTATGATAGGTATTTCTCATAAACAGCGTATAGAAAAAATAATCAAGCGTTAATAAATAATGAGACATCAGAGGATTGTTCGGAATTTTAATTTTTTCTTTATAGAGATAATGAAAGGTATTTTGCATCAAGTAGATATATTATTTTTTACAATTTTTTCCCCTACTCAGTATAATTGATATACTTTAGGAAGTTTTCAATCTTAAGGTGTGGTACGAAAAGAATTTTTCTCAAACTCGATTTTTCATGAATTTTATCGTACACCGAACTCTCTGAATTTTAATGATGCATGGTTATCGACTAGTACGAAAATTCACAGCTTTAATTATAAAGTGAACATTGAAGGATTTATAATATGGTATTAAAAATTCGATAAATCCCTCATGTGTAGGATGTCGGTAAAGTTTTCGATGAAATAAAATTTAGTTGGTATATATGCATACCTACACAATTAAACTTGAAATGCTTGTTTTGTGCAAAAATTTTAATTACAGTTTTAATCAATAGGATATAATTTTCACACAATATCTACCTACCAGCGTTAAATTAAATTTATTCGATAACGCATTACTCATAGGTTTCGGTGTACTAGTTTTAGTTAGGGTAAACAATGTTACGTCAAAGTTTTGAACGCGGCGTCAAAATGAAATTCCAAACTAAACATACTTACGGTCGGCCAAATTAGATCCAAGCCCCGAAACTTCGACCACGAATTAGTCCGTAGATTGTGAGCGTGTAGTGAAAGCAATCTATATATATATATATATATATATATATATTTGTTGCCTGTATTTTGAACCCTAAACAACGCTTTTATTATTAATTTTTCAAAAGATAAGTTGAAATAACGTTCAATCGGTGCGTTTCAAACGAAATTCCGTAAATGTTAAAAAATTCACAAACGAGTATCGTATTAACTCGTATTATATTACAAACAGAACGCCCAAGGACCATCAGATGCGAGTGGATTAATTACAGTCCTCGAAGTGGAGCGCACAACGGCCCATAACTTCCACAGCCTCTTGCGTCTACCAAGTACTGATCCCGAGTACCTGGCAAGGCTGGCTTTGGCCGTGGAACCCAAAGTCAGACCTACCATAAGGATCATTTCCACTGACACGGAAGTACAAATCGAACGGCTGAGGGACAAGGTGGACCGACTCCAGGGAAATAGTAAGATGCTCTACGAAGAGTTATCGCTGCTCAAGAGGGACTTTGCGGTCAGTATATATACGTAAAGGCTTTTGGAGTTAGTTTTGATTATACGCAGTGAATTTGCTTGAATGGCAAACTTTGAATTCATGAACTTGTGATTCAATGAGAAAACGAGATTTGCAAACTGTCGTGTCTTTGTGGGCAGTTTTCTATTTTTTTTTAATATTCGTAACGGGCTTTTGATAAAAGCCTGTGAAATTAGCCAGCAATAGGATAATTCATCTCACTCTGCACCATTTCTAAAAATGGTCTTTTTGCACATTAATTTTCTCCGTCTTTCTTTCCCACTCGTACGTATTGGGAATTGAAAACAAATATATATGAGTGTATTTTTACATGGAATTTCATTTTAAATTGGTAACAATAAAAGCTACAGTCTGAATTTTGAAACAAATTTCTCTGACAGTAAATTACAACCAATGGTGTGACTAAATGTCCAAGACGGCCATAAGTATTTTACAATTTTTATTTATTTTTNTTTACAGTACTTTTTCATCCATAAAGTGAAAATTCCTTTTAATGAAAGAACTGAGTGGTATCTATTTGGGGGTTTTTCGGCTAACGAAGTGAAAGTTTTTGCAACAATATTATCATGAATTAACATTGATCTTTTCTTAAACTGTGTTATAATTAAAAGCCACTAAAAATACTTTTATATTTTTTTTTGTGTAAAATAATTTTTGTTTCAACAAATGCTTCACAATAGTAACTTGAAGGTACGCGAAAACTGGACGCAGTCACACATCTCCTCAAGTTGCCTAAACCTGCATTTTATTTTTTTTGAAAACTTTTACGAATTTAAAAAAATGTTTAAAAAATTTTATTTACGAACAATTTTAATCATGTGGAAAAAGTTTAATTTATTGCATTATCTACTGTTACGAAAAGAATTCCAGATGGTTTTTTATAACGTAAAAAAATATAGTGGGCCCAAATTTGAAGAGCTTTTTTTAAAACTTTCCAGTATTTTGCAATAAAACAAAATTCAAATTGATTGACGCTGTACAATTGATGTAAAATTTTCTTATACTAAGAATACAAATTTGTAGATGACTAAGACCTTTCCATTAATATGTGGCTTTGTGTGGATTTACGTAGAAAATTCAAATACAACAATAAAACTCAAGTAATAATTATGACAATCAAGTAAATTGAAAATAATAACCACTATGACAGAAACAACTGCTGAAAAAAGTAATTCAATTTTATGTATGATTCGAGTGATTATTTATTTTTAATTGTATAAAATTTAAACTTTATGGTTCACGAATTGATATCGTTTTCCAGCAATTATTTCATGATCTTCTATGCATCTATGCAGTATGTAATGAACTAAAATTATATCCGCTCATTTTGTTTCCTAATTGTTTGAATAAATTTTTTATTTGTTAATTACTTATATCGTTATTTTAAAATAATTTCTGTTTGAAAATTCGCCTTGAAATTCTTTCTTTTAAATGGTCGTTATTGTGGAGCAAAAACTTTCAATTTTTGAAACTCGTTACAACGGCCCTCGAAGAAAAGTCCTAACATAGCCACATATCAATAAGATCTTTTAAAGTTATTGACAACTTTGTGTTATTAGTATAAGTAAATCTCGTGTCAACTGTATAACGTCAATTGAATGGTATTCTGTTGTATTAAAGTACACCGGAAAATTGTAAAAAGCTCTTCAAATTTGGGTCAATCATATTTTTTCACATCGTAAAACACCGTTGGAAATTTTTTATGATGAAAGCATGCCTCATAGTATAATGAAAAATTTTTTCTCTAATAATTAAACAAAACGTAACAACCTACTGTCAATGGAATTTTTCAAAATTTCATGAAAATGAACTAAAAATGATGAAAAAAAAAGGAAAAAACGACGTAAAACACATAAAAATAAAATTATTTTACATTGCATTCGTGTGTAATACTCGCACTCGTGTATAATACTACAAAAAATTCGGCACTCAGGCGCGAAGCTTAGTTTTTTCGCTCGGTATAGCAGACAAAAGATATTTTACGCCCAGCTCAGGTGTAATTCTATTCTATTGTCGTTTATGAGTAAGACTAAATCAACTAATAGGTACCGAATACTACAAATAATCTCAAACCATAAATATCCAACACACCATATAACTTACATCAATAAAAAGACTTACGTTTGTTCATGTGAAGTTTATTACTTATCATAATTGATACAAAATTAAATAAATGAGTATAATAAAACATAATTGGTTGGTTTGAATAACAATCTACAGTTTATAAAAAAAAAAAAAAAAAAATGTATAACATAATTCATGATAAAACTTAACAAGTACAGTACGTAAAAAAATATTACAATTCGACTGTTGGTCAGCGGAAACAATAATTTTATAGTAATAAAATAAAATTTCTTTTTTCGACAGATGGACGAGTGTAGAGTCAACCATTTGTCAGAAGACATAGGCAAACTTCAAACTGAAGTTCATGAGCTGAGGTACCTGGACGATCTTCTCAAGCTCCTGAGGGGCGAGCTCGAAAGGGTTTCCGACCAAATTTGGCCCTTCAGCGTCAGACACGCAAAACGCGGAACTGAAGAAATAAATCTCATTGTTTGATTCTCGCCGACAAACAAACCCCCGACTTTAGTTTACGAAAATTACAATTTATACCTCCACGCGCGAATCATATTGTTTTGTACGTATTTCACTTCGATGCAAAACTTTAACTTTATTGTTCCTTAGGATATTATTTAATAATTGTTCGTAATGTACCGCGTATTTTTGTAATAAAACATCCTGCTTTTATAAAAAAAGTCTCTCAATCCGAGGATATAAACTTGATAAGCCGAGTATCTACATTCAAACCAGCCACGGTTTACGAAACCATCGTCATCTTTACTTACAATATGTTCATTCATACAATATGTTCAATGTACAAATATAAAATTCCTTTACACAGATGTAAAAATCCTACATCAACACTATTTACACTGTACACTTGTGTCCACGTGCAGCCACAACAAGTCAACAACGGGTACGCAAGACCCTTGGAAATTTCTTCCACCAGTTGTCCTTCACACAAGCCCACGCTGTTACTCATCTTCTGAGACGCGAGTCTGAATAATCAGTGGCAAATCCAGCGTAATCTCAAGTGTACGCGTGCACTCAAGTGACGTCCGCGCGTTGCAAGTGCCGGTTGGCGTGCTGTTGCCTCGCCGCTTCCGGCGAGTAGCCCATGTTCGCCCGAAGGAACTCGGAGTGCCGGAACACGTCGTGCGGGGAGGATAGCGTTGGTAACGTCGGAAGACTCGGGAACAGAGTACTCAGCATGCTCGCCCCCTCCGCCGAGTAAATGCCATTGTTTGGCGGCGCTATCGACGACGGCGGGTGAGTTACTGCTGGTATCGTGTGGGCCGGATTCGTGTTGGGAGTGTGGTGTCCCCCGTGGCCGTGGGCATGAGCGTGGTGGTGGTGAAGGTGGTGACTGCTCGAGCCCAGGGCGCTCGACCCTGATGGCATGAGAAAACCCAATGGATTAAATGTCAAGTTATTATTTTGGGGAATTTTGAGATCACCGGCATTTTTTGGGACTCGGGTGTTCGTTTTTTTTTTTTTTTTTTTTTTTCTTTCTCTTTGGCCTTTTTCAAGTAAAGTATTGGTTGAATGAAAACAAGCATTACATGGCGTTCCAAAATATAGTGTGGTACGGGTAGGTGTATAATGAGTTTTTACCATTTTCGGTTAATTTCTATATCATAATTCATCTTAGAGGTTCATTCACTGCTGACACTAAAGAGATTCATGCAAAAAAAAACATAAATTTTTTTTGGAGGGGGGGAATTCCGAAAAAGTACCAAAAGCTTACAATCAAAGAGTGTGCGTAAAAATGAGTACTTGGTCGCCATCATAAGTTACAAATTAACTTTTGTGCATCAGATACGGTTTTTTGTTGGTTTGTTCAGTCCAAAAAGAAGCTTTTTTACACATTTGGTGCATGAATCAACATTTTTTTGACCATCAGTGTGCCAAGTTGGACTTTTTTTGTACTATCATGTGGAAAATGGATATTTTCCTACTGTGGGCGTATTTTTTTTCATTTTTGAACATTTACTGTGTCATTAGTAGGAAAAACAGAGTTCGCACCCGGTTGCGCGTAATTTCTAAATACGCCTACTGTAGAGTAAAAATGTTTAAGAAAAGACAAATTACTTGGAACGTTGATGCTCGACGCACTGGAGCTGGTGCTCAAGTTCAACGAAGGCATCGACGAGTGACTAGCAGTGCTCGCCTTAGCGTGCATGCTCTCCCTCAAAGCCGTAAGAGAAGCTTTTGAATAGGCGGGCGAGGACCTTGGCGCGAAGCTCTTGTCCGACTTGTCTTTTTTACTCTTCGTGCCCGATTTACCAGCACCAGCTCCGAAGTGTAATAGCTCCAAGTGTCGGCGCAAGTTCCTCGATTGCCGGATCACGGCGCCGCACAGCGGACAAGTGGCCGGCTGATCCGACAATGTTCTCGACTTAGAGTTCCACTCGCCTAAAATTTGAAAACAGACGTAATCTACCTTGGAAAATTCCATTTTGCCAGATTTATGTATTTTAGTTAAAAGCGAAACTTAACTATTAGTCGTTCGTTTTTTTTTTCGTTTTTATTTTTTTTTTCGTTTTTTTTTTTTTTTTCGATTGTTTCAAAAAGAAAATATAATTTCCAATATTGACAGATTGACATTATTAAAAAAAAAACAATTCGTTTTATGATCTCAAAAATTATATGTTCGTTTTTATTTACACTTTAAAATAATTATGAATACAACTGATTGAATTTACAGTTTGCACTTATGATAATAATTAAATAAGTCATTGGATTGATACAGTAACACTAAAAGTCGTGAAAGTTACAAAGGTCCTTGCAACTAACTCGTTTCTTTATGAATTTTTTCATTAAGATGTAAGCAAATAATCATAATAATCATAATAATAACAAATGGTGAAATGTGAAAAAACTTGGAAACTCAACATGTGTGGTATACAAGAAACCATATAGCGTTATGATGAATAGAAGTTAAAAGCCTTATATAAATAATAAAGATATTTTCTTTTTCTTTTGTAATTCCTTGCGGCTCGAAACCACCCTCTACTTTATACTATGTTCAAAATTAATTCTTACGATCTATTAGCAAAGTCTAATGTCTTTTCTTTTTTTTTTTTTTTTTTTTTGTTTTTTATTGTTTCCTTTTAAAAGCTAGACTGGAAGATTAATTTTTCATTTTCTTTCTTTTAATAGTTGATGATAGAAAATACGTGTGCTTAACGTAAAATATTTGTTTCACTGCTCTCTAGAAGACTAATTGTGAAATATTTGAAAAAAAAAAGAAAATTACAATCTAGGTTTAGCTGAGTATTCAAAAGTGTCCTTGCTCGAACGATCGTTTACACAGTTTGTTTTTGCCTCGGAAGGACTTTAGGAGAGCATTTATCCTTCCAAAGCGCCAGTCTCAACACAAATATTGCCCGAAAATGTGCACTTATATATATATATATATCCTCAAGACACGGGCTTGTGTATATTTTTCTTTTTTTTTTTTCCTTTTTTCTACTTTTTTCCTTTCTTTCATGTATTATCAAGTATCAAATATAAATATGCGTAGAGGTATAAGTACTGGAGCTACATGAAATAAAAAATCGAATCAAGTTAACGGTCAGTCTATAGGTATATTTATATATGTATATATAAATGTTTTTTGTTTGTTTGTTATATTTTCAAACAGAGTAATCGTCGTTTCTTCGTCACGCGACAACAACACAGTCGTCGGCCACACACACAGAGACAAATGAAGAGAGAGAAAGAGCGAGAGAGAGAGAGAGAAAGATGGATAGTGTAAAAAGAGAGAGAGAGAGAGAGAGAGAGAGAGCGTGGTGACACACTAGAGCGACACAGACAGACGGAGAACAGAGGATAGAGCTGTTACTGAATGATCTTCGACTTAATCTTAAGCTTGGTTTTCTCCTTTTTTCATCTGGCCACCGTGGGCGACGATATGCTGCTGTGCGGCGATACGACGTTCGACGAACCTTGAGGCGAGGGCGACGGCAGCGGGCTCGGATTGCAGACGATCTGCTCGCAGCTGCTCGACGCGCTCTCGGCACTGCCTTGGGAGCCAGCACCGCCGCTGCCGTAACCGGACACGCTGACGTCTGGCTTGACCTCGATGGACATCGAGTCGGCCGGCATCATCTGGTGCTGCTGTTGCTGCTGGTTCGGGTTAGCCGTGAAGCGATACTTGCACGAGGAGAGCAGGTGCCGGCGCAAGTTCCTCGCTTGCCGGAGGGTGGCCCCACAAAGCGGACAAACCCCGGGGCAGTCGGAGGCGCCGCGTATCTTGGCACCCGTGGACGATTGGCTGGGTGTCGTTGAGGACGAGTTGCTGTGGGGTGTCGAGGTGCCGCTCGGCGTCGACACGCCAACCGCGACCGCCGCTACGCCGACCGTGGCAGCGGCGGCTACGGCCGAGGCTGGGTAACTCATCGTTTGAATGGCCCCCGGGAATTGGGGTATGTGGAGAGGCGAGTACGGCTGCATGGGCATCAGGTTGTGCAGGTGGGGCTCGCTCTCGGAGTCGGTGATTAGGGCCGTGCCTGCGTTGTGCTCGACCACAGGATGGACTAGCTGGTGTTGCGGCAACGGCGAGCCGATGTGATGGTTCGCGTGATGCTCCGCACGCCTTTTCGCTGTTAACAGACACAAACACAACGTTACCATGCGCTGAGGGCTGAACTGACTGGTCATCAGTTTTTTTTTTTTTTTTTTTTTTTTCATGTAATGTTTAGTCGAGCCAATCGTGGTTTTTTTTTTTTTTTTTTTTTGTTCGTTGTTTGTTCACAATCTATACTCTGCGATCCAATTGGTTACGCAGTTCAACCCAATCGATGGTTGTGCTTGTGTCCGTGCTCGTTTACAAGTCAAGACAAAGTAATTGTCTCACTTTCAAGAGTTTTTTTACATTGTTACTTTTCATCTTTTTTTTTCCATCGTGTAATAATCATTACCACTTGTACAAAACGTCAAAAGTATTGCGGACACAAAACACAATTTTTTCTGGCTATTCCTAATGAATGATCAAGGAAGGTCTTACCTTCACTGCTCTCGTCGTGCTCCTTGTGTCCGTAGTCCAAAGATCTATTGTCCTCCGAATGATCATCTAATGACCTCGAATCAATGGAATAAGCTCTTGGCCATTTACCACCACCACCCTCCTGCTTCCTTTTCTTCTTACGTCTGCGCTGGGCAAGATAAGAATTCATTGTGTCTCTCGCAACACTGGGATCGTTACAACCAGGTATAGACGAAATCGGAATTTCTTCTCCTTTCTGAAAGGGAAAGGTAATTCTTCAAGTTATGAAAAATTATTTTACATTTATAAAATTTTTGGATAACCTACCTGTGACATAACGACTGACGGGGGAAGACCGTGAATGCTGAGACACTGAGCTGCCTGTAGCAGCGAAGGCAACTGTGACTGCTCCACGCTTATTTCGCCTCTGTAAATGAATTCCAATATAGATTCTAAATCACTCGCAGAAATACCTGCTAGCATAATAACCGGATGCTGACATGGTGTACTCTGAAAAACAAATTAAACGGAAATATTAAAACTTCTAAAAGTTAATAACATTTATAATTTCATACATTTTACAAATATATGGGCTAAAGGAGTCTAGCCGGGCAAGGGAGGTAAAAGTGCCTCAAGCAATTTTTTTTAGATGAGAATAAGCTTTATACATCCAAATATATATTTGAAAAGATGTTTTTATGCCAACATTCAGGTCTTTAGATCACTTTCCGTAGGTGTGATCGGTCAGAACGTATTTTTTAGTTTTTAAGTTTTTTTTNCATTAATAAGTTAACGATTTCAAATTAAATACCTTAATTTTTCATGATTATTTATTTCTACAAAAAAGTTATCCTATGGCTTCAAGTGCCAAAACTATGTGCAACCATAAGAGCAGCATATGTTAAACAATCCTTAATGGTTTGTTACCGTGATTTTTATCGGCAAATTAATCTAAAATTTTTCTTACTGATAGTAACAACTTTCTAAATAATCTTTTCGAAATTCACTTGGCTTGATCATTTTTTTATTTAAGCATGAATTCCCTTAAATTTACAATGATTACATTATATTTGACTAGAAAATGTTACTTTTTCGTTGACTTTCTAGCTCTGAAAAACAAGTACATGAATGGTGCAATAAAAATTTTGTTTTCACAAAAAAGACTTTTTTTTATATTACCGTTAATTTTTCAGCTTTTTAAAAGTGATGAATCATCCCCAAAAAATTAAAAACTGTAATTTCAGATATTTTTTTGCATTTTCACTTTGACCAATCAAAGCGAAAAAGACTCCGTAAAACCTGTACTGAAAATAAATTTTTGATAACGGTTTTACGAAGTAATTTTTGCATTACTTTTTTGTAGTAATAATGTAGAAATATACGGGAATCTGCAGTTTTTATTAAATATTTGAAAAAAAAAAGAAAATTACAATCTAGGTTTAGCTGAGTATTCAAAAGTGTCCTTGCTCGAACGATCGTTTACACAGTTTGTTTTTGCCTCGGAAGGACTTTAGGAGAGCATTTATCCTTCCAAAGCGCCAGTCTCAACACAAATATTGCCCGAAAATGTGCACTTATATATATATATATATATCCTCAAGACACGGGCTTGTGNAAAATAAAAAACTGCGATTTTTAGCATATGTGTGCATTATCACTAGGACAAATAAATACAAAATCATGATTAAAAACCTATTTTCTGTTTTGCGGGGCTTTTTTATTCATTTATTTGACGTAGGAAAAATGGGGAAAAATGCCTTTAAACCATAGTCTTTTGAGAAATTTGAATTTATAAAAAAATTGAAAAAAATTTCTGTATATTTTTTGTCTAAAATTGTTTTGCATACGATATGCGTTCCCATTCTTTCCATTTTCATCCCACGTAACAAGTCCATGCAAATAAATTTTTTCAGATTTTTTGTTTACTTAGCTGAGGAAAAACAAATAGAAAAACGCGTTTTATCTGATCACACTTACTAAGAGTGATATTGAGACCTTAAATTTGACAAAAAAACATCTTTTTACAGTACTTTTTCATCCATAAAGTGAAAATTCCTTTTAATGAAAGAACTGAGTGGTATCTATTTGGGGGTTTTTCGGCTAACGAAGTGAAAGTTTTTGCAACAATATTATCATGAATTAACATTGATCTTTTCTTAAACTGTGTTATAATTAAAAGCCACTAAAAATACTTTTATATTTTTTTTTGTGTAAAATAATTTTTGTTTCAACAAATGCTTCACAATACCCCAATCAACGCAAATATGGCAAATATTAATTTTTGACGTTTTTCAAACATCAACAGTTTTTTTAACCAAAATTCCACTTACAGCCAAATAGAATCTCAAGTACTTAGTCATCTTTATAATATTATGATATCAAAGGTTGCAGCACTCATTCTTTTGACTCTTGATTTTCCCAGTTTTGTTTTATTATCCGTTCACGTTATTCAAACAGTACAATGATTATACGTCTACTATCTTGAAATGGATTTTTAATACAATTTCCTCAAAAAGACATCCAAAACAGTAAATTCGAAATTTTTTTCGATTTTGAGGCTTTGATACCTTCATAAAATATGGATAAGACATGGATAATATTTTATTACAACTTGTAGTAGCTCTAGTTATTAGGTTGTTTGACACTTTGTTTCATAACTTTGGCATAAATCTCAGGTTTAAAATAATTTCTGTGCGATTAAATTTTTCTGTTTTCTTTGATAACTTTATCATGTAACGATTTCACAGCATATTTGCTTTGAATTATCTTATTCAATTAAACGTTTACAGATAATAAAACAAAACAATAGGTAATCCTTTTAGTAAGAATACGTAGAATTGCGTTGAAAATAATGCTCTCCGAAATGACAAGCTGCGATTTATAATTTTCATTAATGAAGATAAAACTTGCCTGCCAATATCCTACATTAAATCATTTCTTCCATGTTTTAGAAATACTGTACCATTTTTTTTAATCTTGCATAATACAGAAACATACAATAGTAAAACGTTATTTTCTTTATATGAAGTACTCGCTATTTATCAAACACTCACATTTATCAAAAGTACATGTAACAGAATCCAGTTTGATGCAAATAAGTTTTTGTCGAGTGTGTTAGTATCTTTAGACCGGCTATAAAGCTCAACAAGAAAAAATAAAAGAAGCTTGAAACTTATAGCCTAATATATTTCTTTAGAGTATGTACGTATACAATTGAAAATTGTACTTTCAATTATAAATTCCAATAAAAGTAGTTGAAGATAAAACAATTCCAATTTTTTCTTTACGATTGTTTCTGTTTTAATTTACGTAATTTAAAGATTTTACGGCGAAAACTTCATAAAATGCTCTCAACAGAACTTGTGTTTTGACATGTACCATTCATTAAACTCAGTAGGAGTAGATTTAAATCTTACTATCATATGTTTTTAAAGTTGATTCTTTTCTCAATAATTGGCATGTCATCAGTGTTTAACGTTTTTTAAGGAAGCCAGAATTTAAGGATTGTCGAAAATATATCATTTAGTCAAATATAATGCAACCATCATTATTATTTTGCTGCATCTTATCTTTATAGGTATTTATAAAAAGAATTTATCAGTTATTTTTTCTAGTTTTTCATAATTTACCGATCATCATATCATTCATATAAAAAAAATGTCACTCAGTAGCTAAATATTATTTATTATAATGCGATGTAAATAAACTAAGGCTAATTTTTTCTTATACCAATTATATAGCTTAGAATTTGCCATTTTTAATTTGCTAAAAAAGTCTTATTCATAATTAAAAATGTATTTATTTTTAAGGATTCCGAAATTTTTCATAAACAAATTGACCCTTTGGAATGAATGCGACTATTTTTGGCAAATAAAAGGATGTGAATTTATAGGTATTTAATTTAAGATAAAAATAGGCTTGATTTATTAACATTATGTTATAATTAATAGTTTTTCTGATACAAAGAGTGACATTTTTCTGTACATGATACATTAATGGGTGAATCAGAAAAACATTTTTTTAATTTAAGAGATACTTGATAAATATAATAGAATTATATCATCGAAATTAATACGTGATTCCACGATCAACATGACCAAAGTTGAACATACTCAAACTAATAAAACAATCAATTTTTATACATCTATAAGTATTAAACAATAGATTATTCAGTAAGTCACGTTGTACTCAGACTTGTGTTATTTTGTAATATCTGTATACTAATCTAACCTAATCAACTGCATCAATACAATTGTGCTGATGATGCAAAGAAACAAGTTTTTGGTGCTATTTACGGTAATAATTAATTTATGTTGACTATGGAGGTAAGTAAAAATTATTGTACCATGCCTCTACAAAAAGGAAAAAGATGAAAAAAATAAATAAAAAAAAGGGATGAAAGAAGTACTTATCACCCTATGTTACATAAGAGGATTATACATATGTTTAAATTTCACAACATTTCAGCAAAATATTTACGGACATCCATATCTTGTACTGAGCACACGTTGTTAATAAATTTCTTTATATTTTTTCCTGCGTTACAATGTTTAGCACAACATTAATAAGTTAACGATTTCAAATTAAATACCTTAATTTTTCATGATTATTTATTTCTACAAAAAAGTTATCCTATGGCTTCAAGTGCCAAAACTATGTGCAACCATAAGAGCAGCATATGTTAAACAATCCTTAATGGTTTGTTACCGTGATTTTTATCGGCAAATTAATCTAAAATTTTTCTTACTGATAGTAACAACTTTCTAAATAATCTTTTCGAAATTCACTTGGCTTGATCATTTTTTTATTTAAGCATGAATTCCCTTAAATTTACAATGATTACATTATATTTGACTAGAAAATGTTACTTTTTCGTTGACTTTCTAGCTCTGAAAAACAAGTACATTAGTACAGTAAGACTATTCAGTACATCAGCAGAAGTGTGTACCTTAATTATAACTTTATTTTAACCCATTATCATAAGTTAATAACGGCTACATTTAGGCAAAATAATGAATTGAGGTACAAAGCTGGTACGTTGAGAAATAATTTAAGCCAAAGATCAATTGAGAATCGAGACAGAAAAGTTGCAACGCATGATCGATGAAGTGGCATGTCCATCTACAAGCAACTCAGTAATCTTTTATGATTACGCATTACAACTTTTTGCCGTAATTTTCAATAGATTGTGAAAAACTTAGGCTTAAATTTTGCCATAACATACCAGCTTCGTACGACTTTCCATTGTTTTGTGTCGATGTAGGTATGTTATTTATTATGAAAATGAATAGTATTAAAGCTGTGGGTAAGGTAGAAGTTTCCACTATGATACTGAATGCTCTTAATCATAGACAATTACTAAATTATTACTGTATTGGCTTAAAATTTTTTAATTTTCAGCTTATAGTTGTTTTAGACAAACAATCATTGTTTCGTAACTTAATTTAATTTTGATTATTGTACATCATTTAGGACTTAAATAATTTTTGTAGGGCACTTGATATTGTTTGTAACTTTTTTTATCTGCAAATACTACATCTTTCTCCACTGTAATAAACGATAAAATTAATAGGTATTAAAAAAAGGTTTGCACTTAGATATAATCCTACCTTTAATATGTCCAGAAGAAACGGACTTGCTGCAGAAAGGACAATCTTATGAGCCGAGAAACTACGTCCACCAGCTGTCAAAGTAACGTCAACAAGATCACCGTGTCCACGAAGTAACTGCACTGCAGACGTTAACGACGAGCCAAATTCACCCCAAGATAAACTGTAAAACTGTTGACTAGCGCTACCCATCTGCAAAAAATAAAAAACAGTTATGAGAATATACTTAATATTTTCTATTACAAATGACAATGTCTATACGTCAAAAAACGTACACATTGAACAAAATATTAGGCAATCAATGGTATCTATTAAACTGATACTAAAAATTAGAGCAGCTGTATGTAGTGAACATGCGAAAAGGATTTGCTCTAAAAGACGCCATGTGCAACGCCTTAACGTATATGTGACCCCCGGGCCGCCTAAGGGCATTAACCTTAACAAGTTTGAATGAGAGAGGAGAGCAGCAAAAACCGGCATGTAAGATAAGAGAACAGAAGTATATAGAAAGAGGGAACTGACTACTCGCATATACGTTTGTTTTCATGTTAACGTATGAAAAAAGAGAGTTGGTAAGCAGCGAAGAGAGAAATTTTTGCCATCAAAAAATTGTCATGAAAAAAAAGATACTCCAGATCGAGTAAGAGAACTTATGAGAGAAAGAGCGAGAAGAGAGAGTGCCGTTATGTAGAACTCGGATGGTCAGCAAATCCACCGAACGCCGAAGACGTCGAGTTGAGCAAGCGTTATATATCTCTCCCGCTCTCTCTCTCATCCCCATATAAACATACGTGCAAATTTGCGCGCGCACACGCACACACTCGCGTATTAAATTCTTTTCTCCTCCACAACATTTGCCATCTTTTACTCTTGGATTTATTTCTGCATTGACCAAAGCCTTCTATGATAGAACAATCCATGGCAAAATTTTATTTAGTGTAACGTAAGCACTACCTCGACCTCTAAATGTAGAAATTTTCATCCATACTGCATATTTCGGAGCAACACATTTTCCGTCTGTGATGCGCACGCGCGTAAACACACACCCACATTCATTTAGACCATACTTTTATTTAATTAGATCAAACGAGAAGTAGCATAATGTACCACATCAAAATTTGTGCACACGAAACAAACTCAGCACTCCAAAACTTAACTAAAAAAAAAGTATTTATGACTTACACATGTTTATGAAAACAGAATTCAAGGTAGACCGGTGATGCAAGGAAATTGGTCAATGTATTTGCTATTTTGCACGCATCATCTTCTTTGTAGGGATTTATCACTCCGCGAGTATCAAAAAGCCAATTTTATTCCCAAACGTGTACTTACACCACTCACTCACGCACTCTATTCCACTCTCGTTTCATGACGATTCATGCAGAAACAAGTACAGTGGCGACGCGTCGCGTGAAACAACACTCAAACTTTATCTACTTTACTCGTTCTACCGTGGTGGCGTTGGGGGTAGCCATAGCTATAGTCGAGCTGGTCACCAAAGCGACAGCAGCGACACTGTACTTTTCTGTATGCAACTACGTACAACATGCACATACACGCACTCAATCTGCTCTTTCCCGTCGAAGTCGTCGTAAGGTAACGCATGCATTATCGCGCGCGCAAGAGTATAGAAACCCTAATCCATGCATACAGTACATACGACACTCACTCCTCCGTATACACTCTCCCTCTTGTGCGCATACATAAACACACTCGCATACAAAAGTAGGTATAACATATCGAGCGATCACTCTCTTAACATCAGCCTCAACAGACGGAGCGTACGCAATAGTTTATATACATATACACAGGCTCTCCCGTGGCTACGCCACTCACCTCTTCTCAACCGATGCACTCTCTTGCGCCTCCTCCTCACCCTCGGTGCACTCTGTCTCTTTCTTTTACCACACTACGCGCGCGCTCCCAGTGAAAGTCTACGTGAGTAGTCAAAAAGAGAGCGTCATATCGCAGCTAATCCAGATTGCGCGCCGTATACCCACGTCTTTAGAAGAGTAGGCTGATGCCAGTTGGACGTCGTCGCACTAATGTTTTGCGGCGAAGGACACGCTGTAGGATATAATTGCAACTCGTTAATTAGCGATACAAGGATTGTGATTGCCAGTAACTTTGTAACAGTTGAGTTAAAACACTATATCCGACACGACAACGAGAAGCAAGAGCGCGAACGTGCGTGTTCCTCTTACGGCCTCTCTCTCTCGACTCTCTCTTCTCTCTCTCTCTCCGAGAGACTCATTCTCTCCTCTCCTTTCTCTCTCCGATACTCTCTCATACATTTTCTCTCTCTCACTCTCTCTCTCTCTCTTTTACTCTTCCCCAAGCACGAGACCCTCTCCTCTTTTCTCTCCTCTCCTCTCTTGCTTGCTTTTATCCATCTGCATGTACATATGTATAATGCTGTGTGCATACATACTCACGCGCGCGCGAACCCTACAGAAAGAGCGATGCCGAAGAGAGGGGGGAGAAAATCACTCTCGTACTCCGTACATGCTTATGTTGTATGTATACATATACAATTATTTTGCGTACGTATATAATATACATTAACATTACAGAACTGAAGGCTGAGAACAGGGGAGCCCGGTATCCCTGCTACCGCCATCGCTTATACATACCTATATATGTGGGAAAGAGAGCGAGAGAGAAATATAACAGCAGCGCGCGCATCTTACTGTACTATATTCATTGAAAGAACTATATAGATCAGAAATACAGAAAGAACGGAAAATATATAAAAAGATATGAGTACGTGTATGCGTATGCATGTATGTTGTATTATAGCATGGGTATAATCGGTGACCATGTTGGAATGATCATATATCTCTCTCCCTTTCCATCTCAATTCCACGATTCGGTAGCTTGCGTATATGATAGAAGAGAGAAATTGGATAAAGCGAGCAGGAAGAGATAAAGAGACGAGCCAGCCGTGCGTATACTTTGGTGTAGCGTGGTTATAACGGGAGAAAAAACGGGATTAACGGGAGCTGAGCATGCAAGAGGGCTGCTCTGATGCCGCTACTGCTCTCATCTGATCTCTCGTTATTTATTCGACATAAAATAAAATAAAATACATGATCACGCAGAAGAAAAAGTGTGAAATCCGTACTAGCAAGACACCAGGGCACGAGAAAATGTATTTCTATTGTATGTGAACGAGCCATGCTCGGTAAGAGGAAATTTTAGTACTTACACATTTATGGAGGCCGATGCTACTTCTTACGTCTTCTTCGTCGCCATCGTCGTCTTCGTCGACGATGCAGGTACACTTTATATATTAACAACGACTCGTTCGCGCACAACAATAGCACACTATTTTCACCACTATACTCAACACGAGGAAGAACACTCAAAAAAAAAAAAATACTCACTGTACTACTGATCTAGGAAAGAGAGAGAGAGAGAGAAAGAGAGAGACTTGCGGCCTCTCTCTCTCTCCCGCTCACACTGTCTGTATCTATGTTGTTGGCGGAAAGAGATCGACCTGCGGACCAGATCAGATGAGTTAAGTCGTACTCTCTTCTCTCTGCTTGTGCCAACAAGCATCAGCCAACCCAAGAGTTTTCTGTGTATGTTTTCTCTTCCTTCTCTCCCCCCTCCACCACACCATTCTCTCACTCAAAATTCTCTGATAGGTATACAATGGGTATACCTATACAAGTCTCTCTTCGGAGCTCGGAGCCCTCGTGCCTTCTTCTCTCCCTTCTCTTCTTTAACGCTTCGAGCTTAGGTTCGCTTGGGCTCCAGGAACTCCGCGAATGACTTTCGAATTGGGACATGAAAAAAATACCCAAAATTGCGGAATCGTTAGCAACGTTTGCAATCACTTTGCAAAAAATTGTTGGATCTTTCGGTTGTCTATAAAAAAATAAAAACTAAATGGTCCAGCGAGAGTCCGGATAAGTACGTTGTCTGGCTCAAAGACTCCATATACGGCTATGAAACTTACTTTAATCGTTTGCAATTTAATTGTCGATGATGATTATCTATTGCATTATTGTAAAACTAACAGAAAAACAATGTGAAATAATTATTTCAGTCATTGCGAATGAAGTCTTCTCTGCAGCTATATATATAGATATAGCTCGAGAGCAGACAGCTACCAAACTGGCGGAAAATTCAAATATGTCGCACAGTAGAACAACTTCAACTTCTTAATTGCACTCTCGCACTAACAAATTGTGAGCTTCAATAATTATAATTATTTGAACTGACTTTGTGCTCAGGGGTACTTATTTCGCGTGAATCAAAGCAATCCGCAAATGACAGTTTATGTGAACATAAGGCTCGTTCTCCCTTCTCCCATTCGAGCGCATCTCTTTAGAGTGACTCGAGCTGTATACCTATAAATATATATATCTGTACCTATATATATATATATTTGCTCTGACTCACGTTACCAACTTTCAAACGCCAAAATGATAGTTTTATACTTATTGTATCACAATAATTTGTTCTATTAATAATGCACACTTGTTGCAAATTCATACTGCAACAGAGTTTTTTTAGTATTTAATTCAACTTGATAAGACCGAATCTACTTCAATCACGTAGAGCAGATGATTGCATAACGTAAAAACACATTTTAGAAATTCACTTAAAAAATAATAAGTTTAAGGTTCTTTTGTAATGACTCATGTGTTAGTTTTTCTTCAATATCTATTTTAAATTATAAATCTTGATATTAATAGAAGTTGTTCTACTGTGCGACATATTTGAATTTTCCGCCAGTTTGGTAGCTGTCTGCTCTCGAGCTATATCTATATATATAGCTGCAGAGAAGACTTCATTCGCAATGACTGAAATAATTATTTCACATTGTTTTTCTGTTAGTTTTACAATAATGCAATAGATAATCATCATCGACAATTAAATTGCAAACGATTAAAGTAAGTTTCATAGCCGTATATGGAGTCTTTGAGCCAGACAACGTACTTATCCGGACTCTCGCTGGACCATTTAGTTTTTATTTTTTTATAGACAACCGGAAGATCCGACAATTTTTTGCAAAGTGATTGCAAACGTTGCTAACGATTCCGCAATTTTGGGTATTTTTTTCATGTCCCAATTCGAAAGTCATTCGCGGAGTTCCTGGAGCCGTTCGCTTGGCTCCCTTTTTACTTGCATGCACTGCTCAGTTGCTCACATGCAACCTCTCATCCTCTTAAAAGGGAAGTCCAGAGATAATTAAAGTTTTCTACTTTATCAATAAGGTTACTAAGATTTTATAGTTTTATAACATTATTTATTCAACAGCTAGCTATTTTATCAAAAATAAAAAGGAGTATACGCACACTCTTGACACTTCAAAGAATAAATCAAGCCCGAACTTGGCAAGTTGGTTTAGACTTCAAGGCGAAAAGTGGAAAATCGAATGTCTGGCTAATAATGAGCAATCTAATTTTTCACTTTTTTTTTACGTTTCAATGAATTTTGCTGAAATCAAGCTGTATTTATTCTTTGTGGATTCAAAAATGTACGACAACTCTTTTTTTTTTAATTGTGTAGAAAAAAGTTATTGGCACTAATAATACCCCTCAACGGAATGTATGTGTACTCACACTGTATCTTGATTCGTTTCCCGCGAAATTCAGAAATTTCTATGCTTATCATTCTGATTTACATTGATTCTCAAAATATTAGTTATATGGGGAACCGATTGATTTGGAAATTTGTACACCAGAAAAAGAGTAGACTCTCAATTTTTACTTTCAAAAAATAAATGAAATTTGATATCAGCAAGATTCATTAAAATATGAAAAAGAAAAGTGAAAATCAGACCACACTTTATTAATTCAACATCCGATTGTTTATTTCATGTCTCAGATTTTCAATCAATTTTGCCGAATTTGGGCTTTAATCTTTCAAGTGTCAAGAATGAGCTTCTTCTCTTATTTTTTCGTTAAAATAGCTAATTTTTGAATAAATACTGTTATAGAACTACTATATTATTTTGATCTTATGAATAAGATAGAAAACGTTAACTATCTGCGGTCATGCCCCTTAACTTTAGTCCATTTGTTCGTTAAAATGGCGTAGTTTTACCGCCACCTGGTAGATCCCGTTGTCAACACAATCGGGTTCGGGGTTCGGGTAGTATTCTGTATTCGTAAGCCGCTTGCCCGCTTGCGTGATAAAAGGTAACAATCGTAACCTACGTATCAACAGTAAGTAAAGTAAACTAAGTAAATCTTACATGTGCAATGTGTAATTTAAATGCATTAACTATTTTATTAGAAATAATTACCATAAAATTAAAATAAACTTTTATTATATTTGTTAAGCGACTGTTTGTATTATTACTGTTTATGTTATTATTTCACTTTGTTATAAAAACTAAGGTTTGTGATTTTATGCAATAATTCTGCGGTTCACGAATCAAACTAACTCTAGTGAACACTAGCCATGGCTTATAAGCAAAACCACTTTTTTCTGTTTATTTATCAAATAGCAATCTAAAAATCTCATAATCGTAGAAGAAAATTCACTGTTATCAATTTATTTTGTTTTATTGAATAAAATAATATTTCAATTTTTGTTTTGGTTAATATTATTTTATTCTATTTTATTCAATTTATTAATTCATTTTACCTTTATGGTTTATACTATTTTCATTTATTTTGTTCTATGATATTTTAGTTTATTTCGTCGTGTGATATTATATTTTGTTTGGATGTATTTTGTTTTGATTTGTTTTGTTTAATACTCTATTTTTTGCTCTATTTAATATTATTTTATTATAT